CAATGTGTCACCTAGCTGACCTACATGAGCATTGATGGTACAATGTGTGACCGAAAGCTGACTAACATGGGGATTGATGGTACGATGTGTGACCTAGCTGACCGACATGTGGATAGATGGTACGATGTGTGACCTAGCTGACCAACATAGGGATTGATTGATGGTACGATGTGCGTGACCTAGGGACCGAACATGGGGATTGATGGTACGATGTGACCTAGCTGACCAACATAGGGATTGATGGTACAATGCGTGACCTAGGTGACCAACATAGGGATTGATGGTACAATGTGTGACCTAGCGGACCAACATAGGGATTCATGGTACGATGTGTGACCTAGCTGACCAACATGGGGATTGATGGTTCGATGTGTGACCTAGCTGACCAACATAGAGGGATTGATGGTACGATGTGTGACCTAGCTGGACAACATAGTGATTGATGGTACGATGTGTGACCTAGCTGACCAACAAAGTGATTGATGGTTCGATGTGTGACCTAGCTGACCAACGTATGGATTGATGGTACGATGTGTGACTTAGCTGATCAACATAGGGATTGATGCTACGATGTGTGACCTAGCTGACCAACGTAGGGATTGATGGTACGATGTGTGACCTAGCTGACCAACGTAGGGATTGATGGTACGATGTGTGACTTAGCTGATCAACATAGGGATTGATGGTACGATGTGTGACCTACCTGACCAACATAGTGATTGATGGTTCGATGTGTGAATTAGCTGATCAACATAGGGATTGATGGTATGATGTGTGACCTAGCTGACCAACATAGGGATTGATGGTACGATGTTTGACCTAGCTGACCAACATAGGGATTGATGGTTCGATGTGTGAATTAGCTGATCAACATAGGGATTGATGGTACGATGTGTGACCTAGTTTAACAAGATAGGGATTGATGGTACAATGTGTGACCTAGCTGACCAACATAGGGATTGGTGGTACAATGTGTGTCCTAGCTGACCAATATAGGGATTGATTATACAATGTTTAATATAGCAGACCAACATGGGCATTGATGGTACAATGTGTCACCTAGCTGACCTACATAAATATTGATGGTACAATGTGTGACCGAAAGCTGACCAACATGGGGATTGATGGTACGATGTGTGACCTAGCTGACCAACATGTGGATAGATGGTACGATGTGTGACCTAGCTGACCAACATAGGGATTGATGGTACGATGTGTGACCTAGCGGACGAACATGGGGATTGATGGTACGATGTGTGACCTAGCTGACCAACATAGGTATCGATGGTACGACGTGTGAATTAGTTTAACAACATAGGGATTGATGGTACAATGTGGGACCTAGCTGACCAACATAGGGATTGATGGTACAATGTGTAATATAGCTGACCAACATGGGGATTGATGGTACAATGTGTGACCTAGCTGTTCAACATGGGGATTGATGGTACGATGTGTGACCTAGCTGTTCAACATGGGGATTGATGGTACGATGTGTGACCTAGCTGACCAACACAGGGATTCATGGTACAATGTGTGACCTAGCTGACCAACATAGGGAATGATGGTACAATGTGTGACCTAGCGGACCAACATAGTGATTGATGGTACGATATGTGACCTAGCTGACCAACATGGGGATTGATGGTACGATGTGTGACCTACCTGACGAACATAGGGATGGATGGTACGGTGTGTGACCTAGCTGACCAACATGGGGATTGATGGTTCGATGTGTGACCTAGCTGACCAACATAGTGATTGATGGTGCGATGTGTGACCTAACTGACCAACATAGTGATTGATGGTAGGATGTGCGACCTAGCTGACCAACATAGGGATTGATGGTACGATGTGTGACCTAGCTGACCAACATAGGGATTGATGGTACGATGTGTGACCTAACTGACCAACATGGGGATTGATGGTACGATGTGTGACCTAGCTGACCAACACAGGGATTGCTTTTACAATGTGTGACCTAGCTGACCAACATAGGGATTGATGGTATGATGTGTGACCTTGCTGACCAACATAGGGATTGATGGTACAATGTGTGACCTATAACTGACCAACATAGGGATTGATGGGACATTGTGTAATATAGCTGACTAACATAGGGATTGATGGTACGATGTGTGACGTAGCTGACCAACATAGGGATTGATGGTACGATGTGTGACCTAGCTGACCAATATAGGGATTGATTATACAATGTTTAATGTAGCTGACCAACATGGGCATTGATGGTACAATGTGTCACCTAGCTGACCTACATAAGCATTGATGGTACAGTGTGTGACCGCAAGCTGACTAACATGGGGATTGATGGTACGATGTGTGACCTAGCTGACCGACATGTGGATAGATGGTACGATGTGTGACCTAGCTGACCAACATAGGGATTGATGGTACGATGTGTGACCTAGGGGACGAACATGAGGATTGATGGTACGATGTGTGACCTAGCTGACCAACATAGGGATTGATGGTACAATGCGTGACCTAGGTGACCAACATAGGGATTGATGGTACAATGTGTGACCTAGCGGACCAACATAGGGATTGATGGTACGATGTGTGACCTAGCTGACCAACATGGGGATTGATGGTTCGATGTGTGACCTAGCTGACCAACATGGGGATTGATGGTACGATGTGTGACCTAGCTGGACAACATAGTGATTGATGGTACGATGTGTGACCTAGCTGACCAACAAAGTGATTGATGGTTCGATGTGTGACCTAGCTGACCAACGTATGGATTGATGGTACGATGTGTGACTTAGCTGATCAACATAGGGATTGATGGTACGATGTGTGACCTAGCTGACCAACGTAGGGATTGATGGTACGATGTGTGACCTACCTGACCAACATAGTGATTGATGGTTCGATGTGTGAATTAGCTGATCAACATAGGGATTGATGGTACGATGTTTGACCTAGCTGACCAACATAGGGATTGATGGTACGATGTGTGACCTAGTTTAACAAGATAGGGATTGATGGTACAATGTGTGACCTAGCTGACCAACATAGGGATTGGTGGTACAATGTGTGCCCTAGCTGACCAATATAGGGATTGATTATACAATGTTTAATATAGCAGACCAACATGGGCATTGATGGTACAATGTGTCACCTAGCTGACCTACATAAGTATTGATGGTACAATGTGTGACCTATAGCTGACCAACATGGGGGTTGATGGTACGATGTGTGACCTAGCTGACCAACATTCGGATAGATGGTACGATGTGTGACCTAGCTGACCAACATGGGGATTGATGGTACGATGTGTGACCTAGCGGACGAACATGGGGATTGATGGTACGATGTGTGACCTAGCTGACCAACATAGGTATTGATGGTACAACGTGTGACCTAGTTTAACAAGATAGGGATTGATGGTACAATGTGTGACCTAGCTGACCAACAAAGGGATTGGTGGTACAATGTGTGTCCTAGCGGACCAACATAGGGATTGATGGTACAATGTGTGACGTAGCTGACCAACATGGGGATTGATGGTACAATGTGTGACCTAGCTGACCAACATGGGGATTGATGGTACGATGTGTGACCTAGCTGACCAACATAGGGATTGATGGTACAATGTGTGACTTAGCTGGTCAACATAGGGATTGATGGTACGATGTGTGACCTAGCTGGTCAACATAGGGATTGATGGTACGATGTGTGACCTAGCTGACCAACATAGTGATTGATGGTTCGATGTGTGAATTAGCTGTCCAACATGGGGATTGATGGTACGATGTGTGACCTAGCTGACCAACATGGGGATTGATGGTACGATGTGTGACCTAGCTGACCAACATGGGGATTGATGGTACGATGTGTGACCTAGCTGACCAACATAGGGATTGATGGTACGATGTGTGACCTAGCTGACCAACATAGGGATTGATGGTACGATGTGTGACTTAGCTGATCAACATGGGGATTGATGGTACAATGTGTGACCTAGCTGACCAACATAGGGATTGATGGTACGATGTGTGACTTAGCTGATCAACATAGGGATTGATGGTACGATGTGTGACCTAGCTGTTCAACATGGGGATTGATGGTACGATGTGTGACTTAGCTGATCAACATAGGGATTGATGGTACGATGTGTGACCTAGCTGACCAACATAGGGATTGATGGTACGATGTGTGACCTAGCTGACCAACATAGGGATTGATGGTACGATGTGTGACCTAGCTGACCAACATAGTGATTGATGGTTCGATGTGTGACCTAGCTGACCAACATAGGAATTGATGGTACGATGTGTGACCTAGCTGACCAAGATAGGGATTGATGGTACGATGTGTGACCTAGCTGACCAACATAGTGATTGATGGTACGATGTGTGACCTAGCTGACCAACATAGGGATTGATGGTACGATGTGTGACCTAGCTGACCAACATAGGGATTGATGGTACGATGTGTGACCTAGCTGACCAACATAGTGATTGATGGTTCGATGTGTGACTTAGCTGACCAACATAGTGATTGATGGTTCGATGTGTGACCTATAGCTGACCAACATAGGGATTGATGCTACGATGTGTGACGTAGCTGACCAACATGGGAATAGATGGTACGATGTGTGAACTAGCTGACCAACATGGGGATTGATGGTATGGTGTGTGACCTAGCTGATTGTGTGTCGTTGATCATGCCATCGGCCACTAGTTTACCATCCCCAGGCTGATCAGTAATTGTCAGTATGACAAGATACTATTAACTAAAGGTAGATACTCTACATTTAGGTTGTAGTTCATTACTTAGGTATTTTAAGTTGATATAGAAACTAACAGTGACAGGAAGAATGTTGATTTATTCATATATGCCTGTTGTACATTTCTTGCCTGGAAAACGGAATGTTTTTATACATTAAATGTACACTGTCACATCACTCTGGCAACCATCATCAGTTCAAGATGTCCTTGACCTTGATTCCATCCTTTCTTGGGAACTTTCAGGTGAGAGCTACAGATTCTACACCAAGTGTCTCAAGCTGTGTGAGATGTATGACAAACCCAGAGATGATGCTGTAGTCAGCTGTGCTTATGGCAGGGTACTCACTAATGTCAAGGTCAGTGTCTCTCCGACTCGTGAAGAACTGGCAACCCTTCCATGGGTGATCAGATGAACTTTCTTGTCAGCCAATCAGTATCAAGGGTTATAAGTTCTCAGTATGAGTGACCAAAGCATTCAAGTCTGGAGATCAAAATTATACAGCTAATTTCAAATATTGATAACAAATGCACCATGTGGTTTGCAAGCAAGAGATAACTAAGTGAAAAGCTAATTGTTCAGTGATGTAGGGTGTGAATGTGTGTTCTGTTAAATATGTGCATGTGAGCTGTCCAGATTGAAAAACACTACATGCCATTCTGTTTGGTATTTTCAATATCTCAGTTAATTTATGTTCGCCAGGAGTCATTGATTCAGTCGATTCTTCTCTGCTTGCTTCTGATCAGGAAGCAGGTATCATCGAGTCAATCATAATACCCCAGTGTGGTGCCATGTCTGTGTGAGTTCATGTGGAAATGAGCCTAGTCATTTTTCAAAATGATATTCCAGGTTCTGAATTCTCAATTCCAACCCACATCCATCAGCGTACATTGGCGTCCAGTTTATTTATTGAACCCTCAGTCTCAACACAGAGTTTTCTCTTGCAAAAATCTCTGATCTTGCAGAAATTCATCTTGAAACATGAAACTGTTTTGTGTGTTTTAGGCAGATTACCCTGCAGGGGAGAGCATGTACAGACGGGCGCTGGTGTTTGCTGTCAAGGACCCTGCCTCCATCATGATGGCGTCACAGCTGCATGAGAACATGGGCTGGAACTTTTATATGCAAGGGAAGCGACAAGCTGCTCTGAGGTGAGATGATGGGTTTGTGGTGAGACTGAGGGTGAGCCTGGTTTGTGATGAGACTGAGGGTGAGGTTGGTTTGTGGTGAGATTGAGGGTGAGGCTGGTTTGTGGTGAGATTGATGGTGAGGCTGGTTTGTGGTGAGACTGAGGGTAAGGCTGGTGTGTGGTGAGATTGAGGGTGAGGTTGGTTTGTGGTGAGATTGAGGGTGATGTAGGGTTTGTGGTGAGACTGAGGGTGAGATTAGTTTGTGGTGACACTGAGGACTGAGTGTAGGGTTGGTGGTGAGTTGATGGTGAGAATATAGGTGAGGGTGTGTGGTGAGACTGAGAATATAGAAGGTTTGTGGTGAGAGGAGTGAGAATATAGGAAGGTTGTGGTGAGACTGAGAATATAGAAGGTTGTGGTGAGACTGATGGGAATATAGAAGGTTGTGGTGAGACTGAGAATATAGAAGGTTGTGGGTGAGACTGAGAATATAGTAGGTTGTGGTGAGAGTGAGAATATAGTAGGTTGTGGTGAGACTGAGAATATAGAAGGTTGTGGTGAGAGTGAGAATATAGAAGGTTGTGGTGAGGTGAGAATATAGAAGGCTGTGGTGAGAGTGAGAATATAGAAGGTTGTGGTGAGACTGAGAATATAGAAGGTTGTGGTGTGAGATAGAGAATATAGAAGAATATAGAAGGTGTGGTGAGACTGAGAGAATATAGAAGGTTGTGGTGAGGGTGAGAATATAGAAGGTTGTGGTGAGACTGAGAATATAGAAGGTTGTGGTGAGACTGAGAATATAGAAGGTTGTGGTGAGACTGAGAATATAGAAGGTTGTGGTGAGACTGAGAATATAGAAGGTTGTGGTGAGACTGAGAATATAGAAGGTTGTGGTGAGAGTGAGAATATAGAAGGTTGTGGTGAGACTGAGAATATAGTAGGTTGTGGTGAGAGTGAGAATATAGAAGGTTGTGGTGAGAGTGAGAATATAGAAGGTTGTGGTGAGACTGAGAATATAGAAGGTTGTGGTGAGACTGAGAATATAGAAGGTTGTGGTGAGAGTGAGAATATAGAAGGTTGTGGTGAGACTGAGAATATAGAAGGTTGTGGTGAGAGTGAGAATATAGAAGGTTGTGGTGAGAGTGAGAATATAGTAGGTTGTGGTGAGACTGAGAATATAGAAGGTTGTGGTGAGAGTGAGAATATAGAAGGTTGTGGTGAGACTGAGAATATAGAAGGTTGTGGTGAGAGTGAGAATATAGTAGGTTGTGGTGAGTGAGAATATAGTAGGTTGTGGTGAGACTGAGAATATAGAAGGTTGTGGTGAGACTGAGAATATAGAAGGTTGTGGTGAGAGTGAGAATATAGTAGGTTGTGGTGAGACTGAGAATATAGAAGGTTGTGGTGAGAGTGAGAATATAGAAGGTTGTGGTGAGACTGAGAATATAGAAGGTTGTGGTGAGACTGAGAATATAGAAGGTTGTGGTGAGACTGAGAATATAGAAGGTTGTGGTGAGACTGAGAATATAGAAAGGTTGTGGTGAGACTGAGAATATAGAAAGGTTGTGGTGAGACTGAGAATATAGAAGGTTGTGGTGAGACTGAGAATATAGAAGGTTGTGGTGAGAGTGAGAATATAGAAGGTTGTGGTGAGAGTGAGAATATAGAAGGTTGTGGTGAGAGTGAGAATATAGAAGGTTGTGGTGAGAGTGAGAAATATAGAAGGTTGTGGTGAGAGTGAGAATATAGAAGGTTGTGGTGAGAGTGAGAATATAGAAGGTTGTGGTGAGAGTGAGAATATAGAAGGTTGTGGTGAGAGTGAGAATATAGTAGGTTGTGGTGAGAGTGAGAATATAGTAGGTTGTGGTGAGAGTGAGAATATAGAAGGTTGTGGTGAGAGTGAGAGAATATAGTAGGTTGTGGTGAGAGTGAGAATATAGAAGGTTGTGGTGAGACTAGAGAATATAGAAGTAGTTTATTGGTGAGACTGAGAATATAGAGAGTTGTGGTGATAGTGAGAATATAGGTTGTGGTGAGAGTGAGAATATAGAAGAAAGGTTGTGGTGAGAGTGAGAATATAGAAGGTTGTGGTGAGAGTGAGAATATAGAGAGGTTGTGGTGAGAGTGAGAATATATATAAAGGTTGTGGTGAGGGTGAGAATATAGAAAGGTTGTGGTGAGAGTGAGAATATAGAAGGTTGTGGTGAGTGAGAATATAGAAGGTTGTGTGAGAGTGAGAATATAGAAAGGTTGTGGAGTGAGACTGAGAATATAGGAATGTTGTGGTGAGAGTGAGAATATAGTAGGTTGTGGTGAGTGAGACTGAGAATATAGAAAGGTTGTGGTGAGAGTGAGAATATAGAAGGTTGTTGTGAAGGTGAGGTGAGAATATAGTAGGTTGTGGTGAGGTGAGGAGAATATAGAAGGTTGTGGTGAGAGTGAGAATATAGTAGGTTGTGGTGAGGTGAGACTGAGATATATAGAAGGTTGTGGTGAGACTGAGAATATATAAGGGGTTGTTGGTGAGACTGAGAATATAGAAGGTTGTGGTGAGACTGAGAATATAGAAGGTTGTGGTGAGACTGAGAATATAGAAGGTTGTTGTGAGAGTGAGAATATAGTAGGTTGTGGTGAGACTGAGAATATAGTAGGTTGTGGTGAGAGTGAGAATATAGAAGGTTGTGGTGAGAGTGAGAATATAGTAGGTTGTGGTGAGAGTGAGAATATAGAATGTTGTGGTGAGAGTGAGAATATAGAAGGTTGTGAGGTGAGGACTGAGAATATAGTAGGTTGTGGTGGGAGTGTGAGAATATAGAAGGTTGTGGTGAGTGAGAATATGAGAACATAGTAGGTTGTGGTGACAGTGTGAGAATATAGTAGGTTGTGGTGAGACTGAGAATATAGAAAGGTTGTGGTGAGACTCAACATATAGTAGGTTGTTGAGAGACTGAGAATATAGCAGGTTGTAGAGGTGAGACTTAGAATATAGAAGGTTGTTTTGAGAGTGAGAATATAGAAAGGTTGTGGTGAGGAGTGAGAATATAGAAAGGTTGTGGTGAGACTGAGAATATAGAAAGGTTGTTGTGAGAGTGAGAACATAGAAAGGTTGTGGTGAGTGAGAAATATAGAAGGTTGTGGTGAGAGTGAGAATATAGTAGGTTGTGGTGAGGACTGAGAATATAGAAGGTTGTGGTGAGAAGTGAGAATATAGGAGGTTGTGGTGGAGAGTATGAGAATATAGAAGGTTTGTGAGGTCAGAATATAGAAGGTTGTGGTGTGAGTGAGAATATAGAAGGTTTGTGGTGAGGAGTGAGAATATAGAAGGTTGTGGTGAGACTTAGAAATAGAAAGGTGTGTGGTCAGAGTGAGAATATAGAAGGTTGTGGTGAGAGTGAGAATATAGAAGAGTTGTGGTGAGGAGTGAGGGAATATAGTAGGTTGTGGTAGGAGTGAGAATATAGAAGGTTGTGGTGAGACTGAGGGAATATAGTAGGTTGTGAGTGAGACTGAGAATATAGTAAGGTTGTGGAGGAGAGTGAAGAATATAAGCGGTTGTGGTTGAGGACTAGAGATTATAGAAGAGTTGTTGTGAGAGTGAGAATATAATAAAGGTTGTGAGTGAGAATAGAATAGAAGGTTGTGTTGAGTGAGGGAGGAGAATATAGAAAGTTGTGGTGAGGTGAGACTAGAGAATATAGAAGGTTGTGAGTGAGAGTGAGAATATAGAAGGTTGTGGTGAGGAGTGAGAGTATAGAAGGTTGTGGTGGAGTGAGAATATAGAAGGTTGTTGTGAGAGTAGAGAATATAGTAGGTTGTGGTGAGAGTGAGAATATAGTAGGTTGTGGTGAGAGTGAGAATATAGAAAGGTTGTGGTGAGAGTGAGAATATAGTAGGTTGTGGTGAGACTAGTGAGAATATAGAAGGTTGTGAGTGAGTGAGAATATAGAAAGGTTGTGGTGAGAGTGAGAATATAGAAATGTTGTGGTGAGACTGAGAATATATAGGAGGTTGTGGTGAGAGTGAGAATATAGAAGGTTGTGGTGAGAGTGAGGAATATAGTAGGTTGTGGTGTGAGTGAGAATATAGAAAGTTGTGGTGAGAGTGAGAACATGAAGTAGGTTGTGGTGAGGTGAGGGAATATGAGAAGTAGGTTGTGGTGAGACTGAGAATATAGAAAGGTTGTGGTGAGACTGAGAATATAGAAGGTTGTTGTGAGACTGAGAATATAGAAAGGTTGTGGTGAGACTTGAGAATATAGAAGGTTGTTTTGAGACTGAGAATATAGAAGGTTGTGGTGAGTGAGAGTATAGAAGGTTGTGGTGAGAATATAGATAGGTTGTTGTGAGAGTAGAACATAGTAGGTTGTGGTGAGAGTGAGGAATATAGTAGGTTGTGGTGAGTGTAGGGAATATAGTAGGTTGTGGTGAGAGTGAGAATATAGAAGGTTGTGGTGAAAGTGTGAATATAGGATGTTGTCGTGCGAGTAAGAATATAGAAGGTTGTGAGGTGAGAGTCAGAAGAATATAGTAGGTTGTGGTGAGAGTGAGAATATAGAAGGTTGTGGTGAGGAGTGAGAATATAGAAAGGTTGTGAGGAGAGACTGAGAATATAGAAGTTGTGGTGAGAGTGAGAATATAGTAGGTTGTGGTGAGAGTGAGAATATAGAAAGGTTGTGAGTGAGAGTGAGAATATAGTAGGTTGTGGTGAGAGTGACAATATAGAAAGGTTGTGGTGAGACTGAGAATATAGTAGGTTGTGTGGTGGGACTGAGAATATAGTAAGTTGTGAGGGAGAGAGTGAGAATATAGAAAAGGTTGTTGTTGAGGACTGAGATATATAGAATATAGAGAGTGAGAATATAAGTGTTGTGGTGAGTAGAGAATATAGAAGTAGGTTGTGGTGAGGAGGGATAGTGATGTTGTGGTGAGGTGAGAATATAAGTAGGTTGTGGTGAGGAGTGAGGAATATAGAAAGGTTGGTGGTGAGAGTGAGAATATAGAAAGGTTGTGGTGAGAATGAGAATAT